TGTAAAAAGTTAAGTTACAAAAGTTGGATTACAAAGTATGTTGGAAAAATTCAGTCCGTTGATTTCAAATAATTTAAAAATCTATTTTTTAAAATGATTGGTGTGGATGTTATTTTGTCAATCAATTTTGTAACCCAACTTTGAACATGTAGCAAAACTCTATTAATTTTGAGAATTGCCTCAAGTACAGGAGGCAATACAACACACCGACGGGCCCCACATGTTTGAAAAATAAGAATAAAAAATCCACTCAACCCCCAATCCCCAATGCTATGTCTTTCCTGTAAATACACCTGGTATTTTTATCTCTTAAATGTCTTACGTGCACTTCTGGTCGTTGACAACGAAGTCAAGCAGATAACTACGGCTAACAATTAAAAAATAGATCTAAACAAACTAGGCTTGTGTTATTTGCATTAAATTAATAATCCTGGAAAATGCCCTTCGTCCAAACCCTAAAACTTTTCTAATAAATACCCTACTGAGTTCTGGTAAATGCAATGCTTAAACATTCCATTTTCTTGGTATAAGCGTCATTTCTTCCAAAATGAGAAGCCGAACTCTCAAATTGCTTTGTAAGATTTCCTTCTTTAGCAACAGGATAGCTACCAAAGACAACAATCTCTGTATTTTTCTCTTCTTACTAATCGTTTTGTCCTTTTCTCGTTCTGCAAATTCAAAGTCTCTGCTGCATTTGAGAAGGGGTGATTCTATATCTGTCGAAGGTGATGATTTCATCACCTCACCAGATAATACATTTACCTGTGGCTTTTATGGGATGGGAAGCAACGCTTATTGGTTTGCAATTTGGTTCACCCATGCCAAAGACAAAACTGTTGTTTGGACAGCCAACCGGGACGCGCCAGTCAACAACCAGAGCTCGAGAGTATCTATGAGGGGAGATGGAACCATGGTCTTGACAGATGTTGATGGCAGAATTAAATGGCAGACAAATACAACCAATACTGCTGTTGTTGTAGCTGAGCTTCTAAATACAGGCAACCTCGTTTTGAAGAATCGACAAGGCGATATTCTCTGGCAAAGTTTTGATGTTCCTACTGATACTCTTTTACCTTCTCAATTGTTGACGAAGGATAAAAGATTGATATCATCCTTAAGAAAAGGAAGCTTGGGATCAGGTTACTTCAATTTATATTTTGGTGGTGACAATGTTTTATCATTGATATCTGATAGCCCTCAAATATCTAGCATCTACTGGCCAAATCCTTATTCTGACATCTATACGAGTGGAAGAACCAACTATAATGGTAGCAGATTTGCAGTTTTAGATGATATGGGCGTTCTTTTTTCAAGTGATCATTATCAAGCCAATGCTTCTGATATAGGATTTGGGATAAAAAGAAGGTTAACAATAGACCCTGATGGGAATCTTAGAATCTATAGTTTGATTAATTCATCAGGGCAATGGATGGTTACATGGCAAGCAATTTCACAACCTTGTCAAGTACATGGCGCATGTGGAAGTAACGGGCTATGTGTTTATACACCGAAACCCAAGTGTATATGTACTCCTGGGTATGCAGCAAATGATCCAAACGACTGGAATGCTGGTTGTGAGCCTATATTCAACCAATCCCTCTTGAATCCAGAAGTTGAATTCCTGGCGCTTTCTCAGTTTGATTACTTTGGGTCGGATCTGTATTACAAGCCAAATTTTACGTTGGAAGCTTGCCGGGAACTTTGTAGAAATGATTCCGGTTGCAAGGGATTTACCTACAGGACCTGGGGAAATGGACATTGCTATGCAAAAAGTGATCTATTTAATGGTTTTGCATCTCCAGATTTTCCTGGAACTGTGTATATTAAACTTCCCAGGAGTCTGCAAGTATCAAAACCATCAATTTTTGATGGTTCCAGTACTATGTGTGAATCTCGTGAAGCAGAAATTCGTGTAGGTTCTCCTTCTATGTATAACATCGCCAGAAAAACAGTGAGATGGGGGTATATATACTCATTTTGCTTGGCCCTTGGAGTAATTGAACTCCTATTTGTTGTATTAGGCTGGTGGCTTTTTTTCACAAAACATGGTGTTCCAACTTCAGTTGAAGCTGGATATCGCATGATATCAAATCAGTTCAGGAGGTTTAACTACTCTGAATTGAAGAAAGCTACCAATAACTTCAGGGAAGAGCTAGGCCGAGGAGGCTCCGGCGCCATTTATAAGGGTGTTTTGGCAGATAATAGGGTGGTGGCCGTGAAGAGACTGGGAGATGTGTTTCAAGGAGAAGACGAGTTCTGGGCAGAGATGAGAACCATAGGAAAGATCAATCACATGAATCTTGTGAGAATGTGGGGATTTTGTTCAGAACGGAGACACCGACTCTTAGTTTATGAATACGTCGACAACATGTCACTTGACAAACATCTTTTCAACTCAAATTTTCTCGGATGGAAACAAAGATTTGCAGTGGCATTAGGTACAGCCAAAGGTTTAGCCTACCTCCACCATGAATGTCTAGAATGGGTTATCCACTGTGACGTGAAGCCAGAAAATATTCTTCTAGACAGTGAATTTCAACCCAAGATTGCAGATTTTGGGCTAGCAACCCTGTCTCGGAGAGATGGCCCTGGTTCAGAAATTTCAAGAATTCGAGGGACGAAAGGCTACATGGCTCCAGAGTGGGCACTGAACCAGCCAATCACTGCAAAAGTCGACGTCTATGGATATGGTGTTGTAATTCTCGAGATGGTAAAGGGAATTAAGCTCTCAAATTGGGTGGTAGATGATGCTGAAAATGACAAAATTCCTCTCAAAATTCTTGGCAGGACAGTGAAGGAAAAATCTCAGTGTGGAAACTCCTCTTGGGTAGAGAGCATAGTGGATTCAAGATTGGAAGGGAATTATAGCAGAATACAGGCAGCAACACTCGTTCAATTAGGCCTTACTTGTGTGGAGGAAGACCAAAGCAAGCGGCCTAATATGGCTGCAGTGGTCCAAACTCTCATGGAATGTGAAGATGAAACAGATACAAATTCCGAGAATGTAATTGCTTAACCTTCCACTTTCTCTTGCATGTAAATACTACTAGAATAATGAATCTGTGTTGTTTTAAGCTATATTTTACTGTATACATTTACTGAGATTACAAAGTTCTCCGTAAGTTGGGATATAAAATGATAATTGTCTCCTTTTTTTTTTTTCAAAACTATTTTTTCTCAAACTTATTTTCAACTACAAATTCACACGATAAGATATTTTGCGCGTAAACTCAAAACTTCTTACTTAGCCTCTGTTTCGTAACCATTCTTTTCAAACTTTTATTTCTCGCTCATTTTCACAATAATATTCTTTACGTAAATTCAAAACTTTTTCCTACCTTTTTACCACAATACTACATATTCTCCAAAAAATTACTATTCAAAAACTCATTCTTCCCAAAAAATTATTGTCAAACAGGGCCTTAATAACTACAAATTCTCCAAAAAAAATCACTATTCTAAAAAAAAAAATTTCCTGAAAAACTCTTTGAAAGGGGAGACAAATACAGGCTAAAAGTATTATCATTCTTGAAAAATCTAAAGACGGAATCTTAACATTTCCAACTTGCTAGTTAAGAGTATCAAACAAGGCACCTTCATAATCACGTGTTAATTTTTTTCTAGGTAGGAATGAACAGCATACATATCCACTGTCAAATCAGAAAAATCACTTAGTTAATAAATTAAGTTGGCACAATTTTAAAAATTGGAGATTTTCATAAATGTCACTAAATTTGAAAATTCACAAAA